GTACTATATTTGGCATTGGGCATCATCACATTAGACATCACTGAATCTAGTGTCTAATCAAGCATTTTATTTTTTTAGAAGATTTATTTATTTATTTTAGAGAGAGAGAGAGAGGGAGTGAATGCGAGAGAGAACATGAGCAGGGAGAGGGGCAGAGGGAGAGAGAAAGCAGACTCCCCACTGAGCGGGGAGCGCGACGCAGGGCTCCATCCCATGACCCTGAGATCATGACCTGAGCCTAGATCAAGAGCTTGTTGCTCAACTGACTGAGCCACCCAGGTGCCACTAATCAAGCATTTTAAATCTTGTTGTGAATTCTCTTTCTGAGCATTAAGTATTTCATTCTCCCCCCATTTTTCAAATTGCATTTGAAACAACCCATCTGGAATAATGTGGGTTAGATTGCCTTTGGGGACCACACCAAAAATGTGAACCAGTAATTTCTCGATGGGCAAAATTAGGCTTCTGGGATAATTAGCAATAATCCATGAAACTTGGAAGCAAATTTAACCTAAGTCTCCATTCAAGCTGAACTGGCTTTCAATTATTTGAGGTGTTATTTGGGTACTTTCCTGTTTGCTCATGGGCACAAAAAGCTTTGGCTGTAGACCACAGAGCTAGGAAAACAAAGCAAGGCTTTAATTCTTGGGTGGCTAAGACAGAGATGGCAATGTGACATTCATACTCAATAGCTAACATTATTGAACACTTAATATCTCTTAGGTATTCTTCCAAGGGCTTTGATTGTATTGTCTCATTTAATTGTCACAACAGTCTTGTGAAGTAGTTTTTTATTCCTCCCATTTAGTAGATGAGAAAGCAGAGACCCATAGGTAGTAAGCAAATAGTTCAAGGTCACAGAGTTAGCAAAGTGGGAGACCTGGGAGTCAACTTTTGCCTGGTCTGCATTTCACCCATGTGAACAAAAAGTATTACAATACCATTTAAAGTACAAAGTTTTTGGGGCACCAGAGTGGCTCATTTGGTTAAATGTCCAATTCTTGGTTTCAGCGCAGGTCGTGATCTCAGGGTCGTGAGATTGAGGCCCATGTCCGGCTCCGTGCTCAGCGGGGAGTCTGCTTGAGATTTTCTCTCCCTTTTCCTCTGCCCCTCCCCCCATTCATGCATTCTCTCTCTCTCAAATAAACAAATAAATCCTTAAAAAAAATGAAGTACGAAGTTTTCCCCAACTTATATTGTTGAGAGTCTGAACAAATTTGTTACTTATTTGACCCACGAAGATAAAAAATTATGAAAACCTTGTTCTTTTTTTTTGTGGGTCATTATCTTTTTTCCCTAGTTGTCATGATGTTATGAGGATCTTTCAATTGAAATTTTGTTTTGAAAATTCATTGGATATTATATTACTTCAGACATGGGTCTGAAGATTGTTTCCAAAAGGCATGAATATAGCTTTGTGGAAGGGCTCTGTAGAGAGATAAACAAGTAGGGAAAGATCCAGGGGCAGATGATAAGACACCGGGTTGTAGTTCATCAGCTGAAGTAAAAACTTGCTTTGTGGGAGGATTTTGATGTCATGTGATATTATACAGGCAAATGATCAGCATTTAACTGTAGCCTCCTGCCCTACTTCCTTCCCATGTTAGCTGTGGTGTGGAAGGCCAGCTCATAGTGGGGAGAGTGAGATTACATTGAATTATAGGTCATAGAATTACATTTAACAGGTGATAGCCAACTTTGTAAAACTTGTTCTTTCTGTCCTACTGGCTGAGACATTGGCAGAACACTCATACTCTCCTTTAGAACATCAGAGGCCAGTTTGTTTCTGTCACCATTGGTACTCTTTTCAAAACAAAGAGACGTTTCTGGTAATTGTAACAACTGAGTCATAAATGCCTTCCTTTAGATGAACTTCTTCAGTGTTATACACTCAGGCAGTTCATTTAGTAGATTAGTCATTGATTGTTAGGAATGAGTGAAACAATATTGAAAGAGTTATCTAAGACCTCTGAGTACTAAAGCGAATGCCTTTCAGTTAAAGATGGGGTCATAGCAGTATCCCAGGATCATTGTGCCTGGTCAGTTTGGATCTTTAAAAATGAAGATTATTTCAAGGGCACCTTTTTCCTTTTAAAATAATAGGTAAATCTTTTATGAGTTTCAAATTATAAAGAAGGCAAGGACCGCTTTCTGATTTGCAACTTCAGTATATGTATGTATGTATGTATGCATGTATGTATGTATGTATGTATCTATCTATCTATCTTTAATGCTACTTTTGGTAGACACAGCTGGTTTTAGGAGATGCAGAAGGCTGATAAGGGCAAGATGATAAAAAGTCTGGTTAAATGACCAGCGACAGGAAGGATAGTCCTCAGTCCTCAGTAGTCCCTGGTTCTCTCAGGAATAACTAGCCCTCTGGATTTATTTAGCCTAAATTTAAACATCATTTGAATTCCTTCCACTGGCAGACTCTCGAACCTCCTGTTGAAGGTTTGTTTTTTCGTAAAGATTTGCTTCCCAATTATTTCTCTTCAACTTTTATTGTAAGAATAAGAGATATTGTATTGTAAATATGAGAACTTTCTAATACAACTGCTGGTGGGTTTACTCAGTGTCTTCAGTTTTTGGATCGTTTTGGAAAAATGAAAAGAAAATCCCCAAAACCTTACATCCCTAGTCTTTTGGATATTTGAAGCTATCTGTAGAAAGTTATGATGTTTCTTCTGATTTATTACTTGAGCAAAGACATGTTTGATGTAAAAAAAATTGGGTTATGGAGGAGATAGAAGGATCTTGGATCCACAGCAGGTCGAGATGGACGGAGTGATCAGGCAGAGCCACCCACTGGGTACATCAAACCTGGTTTACTTATCTAAAGGTTACAGGAGGAAGTTGGCCCAGAGAGACTGGCAGCGTGCTCTTTTTAGCGATGGAAGTGCGAGCTCTGGGTTCTTCCTGAAGGATCTCACTGGTGGAATCGAAGCTAGTAAGTCTGAATGAGTGAAATCACATGAGAACCTTGGGAAATTCAGTGCTCTTCCCAGCCTAAAGTGGGAGATGCCCTGCACATAGTTTGGTTGAGACCTGTGTCAGGAATTGCTTCACCTGAGCCAGGTGTGACTTACTAGTCTCCAGGTTTTTAACGTAAAATATGACCACGGTGTGTGGTACAGCACAGCACACTCAGGCAAGGAAATGGCCCCAGTTTCTTACCCTCTGCCTCCTCAGCCTAAAACAGCTCATTCCAGACACTTCGGCACATCCTGGTAACAGACGCTCAGATTTGCAGTGAGCAAACACAGTTGACGCAGACCTGAAATGGAGGGCTGGCTTGTTCATGGTTCTATTATCCCAGGTGGCAATTTATTAAGATAAGTAAAACTCTAATTCAATTATGGATCAACATGGGAAAATATTGACTTACCTTCTTTTCCTGTTGGAAACTTAAGGAGTATTAAATGTTAGTATTTTGAGGAAGTTCAAAAAGCTTTCTTTACCAGGATCATGCGGTGTGCTTGGAGAAGGCCAGACTCCTTTTCAGACAAGTGCTTGGGTGAAGGGCAAAAGTTTAGGGAGATGCCTTGGCAAAGTGTTTGTTAAACTGGGTTTTCTTGCTCCAAAAGGGAGAAGTTCCTGCCTCCACTCTTTTAAAAGTTTCCACAGCTTCAGAAAAATTAGTTAAGTTGTTGTTCATTTTGTTCTACAAGGACATCAAGCCTTACCTTTTCTTAGACACGTTGGTCTCCTGCATTATCACCTCCATCTGGAGTGACCTTTTGTTGAAATCTTGTCCATACTCTAAAATGAGTTCAAACTCTCTCTCCACTCAGAACTTTCCCTGATTCTCTGCATTTCCAAATATGGAGCACTTACCTCTCATGAGCATTATTTCGGTTTCCTTGAGGGCTCTGTGAATTCCAGAGGATAAGCCTGAAAGTTATTGGAGTGCAGGGATCCTGTCTTATCCTCCCATTTCATTCATCCCTTTTCCCCTCTGACTGCAAGCACGATGCTTTATCCAGATGGAGTTTTCAGTGAACTTTCCATATAGGAATTAGAATATCTTTAATTGGTAGAAATACTCTATAATTTTGGGAGAAAGGTCACAAATGCACTCTGTCAAATCCTTCAAAGTTCCACATTTAAGCGGCAGATGTAAAAACTGGGCAAGATGATGGCGCCCATTAAAAGCCTTATATCACAATTCCTTAACGTTTTAGATGTCCAGTTACATTTCTTACTCCCATTATCACCATTTCTCCCCAGCTACCTGCCAAGATACATGGGCTCTGAATCCTCTGAAGGCATTTTATTATATTATACCATTTTTTTCTGAATGTACCTGGTCATCATCGTGCTCGGCACAGACTATTATTGGTGTTTAAAGCTGTTGTTGAAAGAAATAATAAACTATTTAAGAGATCTTCTTAGATAAAATGCTTTCATTTCTTGAAATACCTCTTTGGCATTTATTCCCATTAAGATCAGAGCAATGTCTCAACTTTGAAAGGGATGGTAAAATGGCTCCATTTCTCCTCCTGGTCAATTTACACGACGATATAGAAGCTATGCCCGTAACGACCATAGAAATGCAAAGACAGCCTGATACAAATATTAAATACAAAGTTAGTGGGATAGGCAAGACCCAATTAGGACATATGTCATGTACGGGTCAAGGAGGCCCATGCACCCTCCCTACAGTGCTGTGATAGATGAAGGCAGGGGTTAGGTGTTGGTGATGGTGACCTTGGGGTGTTCCTGTGGTTCCCACTCCTGCTCAGCCATCCCTGCTCATGGTCATCCCAGAGTTCGTGGGGGCTCTGCGGGACCATGGAAGGTCCAGGAAGCCCCTTTCCTGACCCCTGACATTGAACTCTCCTTCCTCCCTTGACAATACAACACAGAAGGTGGAGTTCCCTTGCATCTATTTGCCCTGTCAGTAAGGGGGCCTTTAATCTGTTTTAGCATGAAAAATTCATTAAGAATGTACTATTATTTCATCAGTGAAATCCTCAAATTTTAAATTAAATCCATAGGTTTGGTTTAGCAACCGCCGTGCGAGATGGAGGAAGCAAGCTGGGGCCAATCAACTCATGGCTTTCAACCATCTCATTCCGGGGGGGTTCCCTCCCCCCGCCATGCCGACCCTGCCAACATACCAGCTGTCGGAGACATCTTACCAGCCCACAGCTATTCCGCAAGGTACGGAGGGAGTCGAGGGGTTAAAATATAACTCCCCGTTGCTTTCTCTGCTGCTGGGAAATCTTCCTCGATGCTGACATTGTTGCTGCTGCTTGGGGGTTAATGACCTTCTATCAGGTCGTCCCGAAGGTTTACCTGCCCCATTTCAGAAACCTAGTTTGTTCGGTGACATAGTTGGATCTCTCTAGATGATACTGGCTCAGTATTTTAAAACAAAACAAAATGATGAAACCAAACCCAACACCTTTCCTAAATAAATATGCCATTTGCTTTTTCTTGGTTAAAATTTTACTTCTACCTTTGCATTGCTGTCGGCAGTTAACTGAAGTTCTATGAGAGTTATTAACTGCAGTAGTCATAGAGCAAAGGTAACTCTGACCAAGTCACCGTTGGATGGCGCCGAGAGGTGAATGGGATCAGTGAGAAGACTGAATTATTTGGGATTATGAAAGATAGCATTCCAGGCATTCCACACGAATATTTAGGAGCTTTGAAAGCGTATTTGATATGAAATGCGAGACTTGTGATTCTGACGCTGGCTAATTCTTATGCTGACTCACAACATTCACTACCAAAAATAGGTTCATTCTCATTGTTCATGTGATTTCTGCATTCGTGTTCTGGGTGAGTATGCCCTGAAAGTATATAAATAAGTTGCGTCCTTGCACTTAGGTGCAGAGACGGGGCTCTATTTGCTATGAGTGGTTCTCTATGCATGTTAAGAAGCGCAGTTTGAAGTTCACGTTTGGTCCGAGCGCTGGATACCCCTGGTGGCTCGGTGATTTGAACTTTCGCCCCGCGCTTTTCCTGCCGGCCTGCAAGGAGGGTTAGAGCTGACCGTCTTCTTCGTTGCAGCCGTCTCGGATCCCAGCAGCACTGTTCACAGACCTCAGCCGCTTCCTCCGAGCACCGTCCACCAAAGCACTATTCCTTCAAACCCAGACAGCAGCTCTGCCTACTGCCTCCCCAGCACCAGGCATGGATTTTCCAGCTATACAGACAGCTTTGTGCCTCCGTCTGGGCCCTCCAACCCCATGAACCCCGCCATTGGCAATGGCCTTTCACCTCAGGTCAGTCCCGTGTTTCCAGACAGACGATTTGCTGTATCCCAGAACCAAACAGTCAATTCCCCGAGGCGGTCATATAATGAATTGCCAAATTTAAACCATAATGTATTCTTTATACAAGCCACATGATTTCAGTTTTCTGGTTTCCTTTCTCTCCACCCTTCCTACGGGCTGTATCAAAAGTTGTAGCTTGGGCTTACAATCCAAGTGATTTTTAATGTAATCAGGGAGATCTGTGTTTATACCTTGTTGTCAAGGCATTGGTCAGCTCCACCCCTAGTTCTGAGCTTTGGGTCAGAAGCTCACACACATTTTTTGTTTCTTTGTTTTTGTTTCTGTTTTTTTTTTTAAAGTACTTGATCAGCTGATCTGGTTGTGAACAAAAGCACCTAATAGGAAAACACCAAAGCTTTATTAAAACAATTGGAGAGGAAGCAAGCAAGTTGTGTGGAGAGAGACCAGCTGATGACTCCAGAACTCTGGGATAAATGAGTTATAAATGCACAAATTAGGAGAATTACTGCTACTTTGGGAATATATAGATATTTGAATGTTGTAATTGTTTTTCTAATTTGCATTGGACTATGAGCCTTTCTTGAGAGATCATATTAATAAATTGCCTTGATAATTGCATGTCAGAGGGTTGGATAAATTTCCTCCATGTGGCATCTGTCTGAGGTTGACATTATTAGCAGTTGTTTAAATACAGATCGTTTGATTTTATTAGAGAGCTCTTGGCCCAGGTGGCAAGGATAGTTGCCCACTAAATTTGGAGAAATGTCACAAAGGGGTTGCAATCTATAATTGCGATCGAGAATCTCTTCAGGGCTGAGAGTGAGAGTTTTAACAGCTTTATCTTTCCTTAACCCCTTTTTTTCTCTTGGTGGCTAGAAAAACAGAGAGAAGCCCAGAATGACAGAAATGAAAAGTGAAAAGACAATTATACTCAATTACACACTAATCACCGACTATCACCGCCGCCTAAGCACCAAGAGGGCATTCTAATAGGCAGAAAATGAGATTTTAATGGCACAAAGGGTGGCCAGAATAACGGCTCCTATATCTTTGCCTTCTTCGTTTTCTTCCACTTGTGGTTTGCGTCTTGGGAGTGCAGTTCCTGGGCTCTGCACAACGGTGATAACTCTGCGCAGCTGAAAAGTTCAAAGCCGTTGGAGTTGAAAAGAATGAATAGCAAAGGCAATGAAATAAACATTTCTGCCTAAAGGCAAAAGTTCATAAATCCTTTTTTGTAACAGTCAATGTAATTAAGTTTCATAGATTCCTATAGCACATCCTGGGATAAGAAATGAGAGGTGGCTTTAAACCTCGGCCGAAAAGTAACAACATGAAAACAATGAACGTGTCTTCCTACAGGACTTTAATAAATTTAATTTCCAAGTGCTGGCATTTGTGAGTGTGATTTTGCATGAAAACCATGGACTTATATTAGCAGATTCCTCTTCAAAATGCCCAGATTTATAGCATATAAGCCTCTTCCACAGTTTAGAAGGAACATCAGAAGTAGTTATCTCGGCAGTTTTTAACATCAGTCGTCTGGGACCATAGCAGAGCTTTTTTGAACACGACTGGGTTGAAAGTTTTCATAAAAAGTAAACTAACCCTATACTGCTTCTGCAAGGTGAGACCCAGGACTCCCTTGGCATTTCTTTCGTGTTCAGTCAGAACAGAAATAATGACATGGGTCTGTATTCTCGAAGTGAACGTCCTAGTTTCTTGTAAGCGTATGAGCTTATATGTTATAATAAGGGTATTCTATTTTATTCTATTCTGTTCTATTAGTATTACATAGTTGGAGTCACTGGCACTTAATCTGGAAACTGTTCATCTTTGATTTTATGATTCCAGAGTTGGCAGTAGGGTGGGAATCATTCCAGTGTCAAGCAACGGAAAATTCCACAGGCAGCTCTTCCTGTATTTCTTTATTATGCTCTTACGTATCAGATTAATTCCCTACTTATTACTCTGTACATATCCCGGATATTTTGCATTTCTACCATACATTTCCTCCTGAAACCACCACTAGGAATCCATATTGTCTTAGTACTTGTAGCATCCTCAGCGAGTTAGAAAAGGGACAGATAATGAAGTTCCTCCTTATTTCTTTAGGCAGAGTCGGGGGACAAAAGATGATGAGCGCACCAGAATCACGCCAAACATGTTGAAAAAACAACAGAGTAGGAGAACTGGAAATTGGAACTTTCTAGAGCCTTGGGGTTTATCACTTCTCAGGATTGCCTCTATGTAAGCAAGGGGGGACCAACCCTACTTTTGGTTGTCTGGCTTTATTAGGAATATCCTAAAGAAAATTCAAAGATAAGAGCCCACTTCGAACAGCCTGGTTTACCTGTTAACTAAAGAAGAGAGAAAGAAAGACCCTTCAGTTTTACTGCTGATTATATAGAAGGGCTTATATAGATTGGATCATATGATATTCCAAATGGAACTGATCTTACCGTTTCTCCTCTTCCTCTCCTCCTCCACTTCCTCTGCTTCTCTCTGGACATCTAATATGCAGATGAATCAACCAAGGCTCAGAGAGCTTGAGGCCTGCTGAAGACCACCAGGCGCTAGAGAGAGAATTGGGGCTGGAACCTGGGACCCTTGGCTCATAGGCTAGGATCGCCCCCATGAGAGCATGTGGTTGGGCAGAGAGGGAACAGGTTTTCTGAAAACTAGAGGGAGGGGGCTTTCATCACATCTTAAAATCATCGAGTAGAGATGAGTTTTCGAGACTTGGGTTCAGGTTAAGTGACACTCTTTTTGCTAATATGCTCTTTACATGCTTTTTTGCTTTACACACTTTTCCTATCAATCTTTTAACTTCCCCCAATAATAAAGGTTATTATTAATAATAATAGAATAACTACATGGTTATTATAGAAAATAGAAAAAAAATTTTTTTTAAGTGTCTTCAGAGTAGAAAAAAGAAATTCCCCTGGGCAACCTCTGTTAATATTTTTACATATTGCCTTCCAGCTCTTTTGGGTCTTACACCTTTTCAAAAAATATAATTGAGATAATAGTGTATATACCTTTCCATGCTGCTTTCTATCTTTACATTTCCGCATTGGCCTTTCCCCACCAACTAACTTACATGGAATTGGATCTAAAGGCTTTTGAGTTGTTTCGGTCAATTCATTGTAGATCTTTTCAGTGGAGGCTGTTTGACATGTTCAAAATAATGTGTGCATTGCATTTGACTTTCTTCCTAGTGGGGCTGGCCATTCAGACTTGGATCTCATGAGAATTGCTTCTCTGTGTGTGTGTGTCTTTTAGTTGGTAATCTTCTGGAGTCTCTGACACATCTGTTCCCTCAAGCCAAGAGATTCCTCTAAAGCTTGGAATCAGAGCCATCAGCCCAAGGGTATTTCTTAAATGCCCTCAGTGCTTTTCTCAGGGAGGGTCTCAGCTTCCTGAGAGACGGGGTGAAACAGTGATGTAGGAGATCACACCTATCTGGCTGGTCAGATTTGAGCAGCAATAGACTGACTGACATGTATTTTGACAAAAGATCAGAATATTGACAAAACCGTTTAGAAACTTTGGGCATATCCTTCCTCAAGTTTGTCTTATTCTGAGGGAATCAGTAACTATATCTGAAGAATATGGCCATTTTTCTTGTGGAAAAACGGAGACTACTGCAGCTCAATCATCTAAATGGCAGGGTGAACTGCCGGCAGACTTAAGAGCCAAAAATCTCTCTCTTCCAATTGTTACTAATTCTCGTATAAACACAAATGACACGTTTTGCTTGCTGAAGAAGCGTAATGGCCTAGTGAGTCTTCCATAGGCTCTGGCACTGATATTCCTGCCCTGATTTTCCTGCAGGCCTCGTCCAAAGGCTTCACCAATTGTAGGGGTTGGCTCCACATTCTCCCAGAGACTGGATCTGTCGGGGTAATCTGAGACAAGAGTCCCAGGGATGGGTGACAGAGGGGAAAGGCTATGACCTCAACCTTTTCTGTTGTCTCTGAATTGCATTTCGTCTGAACCACGTAACTCTTGTAGGAGGAGATGGGCCTTCTCATACTGAAAGACAAACAGCTTCTGAGAAGACCATTCGAGTCACTCTAGTGAGGGTTTTCCCCTGCAGTAGCAGCCTTCTTCGGAAAGGTTGTGTTCTCTTGGTGTGGGGACCATAGAGAAAGAACACAGGGAAATAGAGACCATGTATTTCCCCTCCAGACCCAGATGGCACGTTCCCAGCACCTTGCTGCACATGGAGGAGAGAAGAAGGAACGCTGACTTGGAATACAGAGCGCCAGGGAAATCCTACCATATGCTTAAGACATGAGACTAATTAACATTTGGCCCATGTTCTTCCAATTAACTTTGCTCTGCAAGAAATACTACCCTACTGCTCCCCCACGTCCAGAACACACGGAACCAAACCCCAAAAACAAGGCCAATTAATTTAACAAACTTTTATCATCTCATGCTCCACCCCCATCCCATGGCTATAATCGCCACAGTTTTTGGTGACAGCTTCTAATGATTTCTTAAGTGAAATACAGTATCAGTGGGGTTGCATGGTTTCTAGAAAGCTTTTTTTTTTTTTACTGTTATGTTGTATACAAAAATGGGCCAACTTGGCTGCATCTAGGGTTCATCAACCATTGCAAATGATTCTTCAAATGTTTTGGGTTTGGTAAAACCTAAAACACATTTTGCCAAGCACTTTTCCTCCTTAATTTTTCAAACTGTGTATTTTAGGGAAAATTTGATCCATATGGTTTTGATTCATTTACTCTTATAGCATTGACATTTTTTTTTTCTAACGGAGCTATTTGATATCCAAGAAGATTTCTGAGCTTTTCCTACGTTCATTTTAAGCATTTTCCTCCTTAAAAAGAGGAAGTCATCTTTGCAACCTCAGAGGCCGTAAATTTTGAGTACTCTCTCAATTCGGCAATACTTAAAAATACATTTGGTATAAATCTGGATTATTATGAATACATTTTATGTTTAGAGGAGATGGGCAG